TATATATATATGTATATATATACACATTGACAAAATACAATGAAATTACACACAATGCCATATTCCTTAATGGGAAGCTTTAACATGCATTACATCAATATTTTTGTTTTTGTTGCTGTTTGTTTGATCTTTTCATGAAGCATATTAAATCTTAACTGTTAAAAATAAATGTAATAAAAATTGCAACCATGGTTAAATTTTTTTACCTGCTCGACAACCCTCAAAACAACAATTACATGGAATTAGTATATTTAAGTGAAATAAAGGTTTACATAAATTTTAATAGGTAATTGTAAAAATTTTAAAAAGTGACAAATTATTTGTATTTGGTCATTTAATCATTGGCAGAATATGTGTATGGACGGGCCACAATGAAAAAGCTACAGCTAGTCACAATAATCATTGTTTAATCATCAGAATAATCATGAAAGTTTGCTTAACATAGACAAACCAATATCTGAGTTATTGGGTTATGTAGAAAAACAACAAGAACGTTTTAGAGAAGAATAAAGTCTGTTCTACGTGTTAATTCTGTACGACTAATTTATTTTGCGTTCTGTAGAACATAAAACATATTAAAATCAGGATCGCAAGCCAGACATTTTGGACTATTTTGTCATTTGTACCCAGTAATTACAACAAGCTGTTTATATATTTCAGGTTTGCTGGGCAGTCCGAAGCGAGAGGAATGGTTACAGCTCAGAAGAGAGATGGAAGTCCTGACGGACCTGTGGCTGACTCAAGCACTCAAAGCCCTGGCTCTCATTAACTCGAGGTCACTTCATTTTACCCCAGATTGCTTTGCATTAATAGTTTATTACTTCTCAGCTATAAGCCATTAAGATGATATTTCTTCACAAATCTCACATTAAGAACTGAACAAAACGACTGTGTAAAGCCTGATTGTGTCATTCTACTGTGAGTGATGTATTCTCAACACGTCTGTCTTGTCTTTTTCCAGGCCAAACTGTGTGAACGTGTTGGTGACCACCACCCAGCTCATCCCAGCTCTCTCCAAAGTCTTACTGTACGGTCTTGGCTCAGCCTTCCCAATAGAGAACATTTACAGCGCCACTAAAATTGGTGAGAAAAAAGGTTTATCAAGATGTAGCACTAAGTCATAATATATAGGCTTCTTAATTAATTTGTTTTTTACGCCCCAAATTATTATTTTTATTAGCAAACGTTTCTCATTTTTAAAGCTTAACTAGAAAAAGTCATGTTTTTACCCTTTGTCCCCTGTTTTTGAAGGAAAAGAGAGCTGTTTTGAGCGTGTGTCCCAGCGGTTTGGTCGGCGAGCTGTCTATGTGGTGATCGGAGACGGAGCCGAGGAGGAGACCGTAGCCAAGAAGGTTGGTGAAACTCTGTTTATGACTGACTGCTTAAATATTGGGTCACAACTAACCACTTAACTTTTACAACAGTCTCTGAATGTGCAGCTTCTGTTTCTGACAAATATATATATATATATATATATATATATATAGATATAGATATAGATATATATAGATATATATAGATATAGATATAGATATATATAGATATATATAGATATAGATATAGATATATATAGATATATATAGATATAGATAGATATATATATATATATATATATATATAGATATATATATATATATATATATATAGATATATATAGATATATATATAGATAATATTTTCATACAGATTGTTAAAATCTTGTCTAGATTTCACAGTTTGGCAGGGCCCTTTTTTGGTTAGCAATATTATTTTTACTGTTTAAGACAACACGTTTTCCAGATGTTCTTGATCACAAATCACATTTCTCTCCAACCCACTGCATATTTTGCATGCAGAGTGCATTTGGAGCTGCTGAAATATACCGTAATATACCATATTATGTTACATTAGTAGTGTTTAACATATAAGTATCTTAGATAGCATATCGTTCAGCGTTCATTTATCTTAGTGTATTTATGAGATCCTTATGTTTCTTTTTATACTTTATAGTTTTGCTATTTTCGGGTGTAACTGTGACGTTGAGTACACAATTTCGTTCCACTTCATGTACCGCATGTGATGCGAATGACAATAAACTTGAACTTGAAAGACGCATGCTTCACAACAACCCAATATTATATTGTGTTTAACTAGAAGAACATGCCATTCTGGAGGGTGTCCTGTCGAGCAGATCTGGAGGCTTTGACACATGCACTGGAGCTGGATTACCTCTAGAGGGTATCAACAGTCAAGACCTGCTTTCATAAGGAGAAGCGCTGGAAGAGTTAAAGGTGCCTGTAGAAACTGATTTGAAGTCAGTATTGCTGTTTTGACTGAGCCCAGCAGACAGTTTAACGCCGGGTCAAAGGAACTGTGAAGAGTTTCAAGCAGTTCTACAGCAGGACACCAACATGAAACCACAAGTGCTGACATCCAGCTTTGCAAAGTCAAAAAAGGGACCAAATCATAGCTAATCCCAGGGAACTATGGCAAGTACTGCAAGTATTAAATATATGTATATATAAAAAAACAACTTTTTTTCTTTCTTGTTTATTTGATTCATCTCAGCTTTTTGAATGTTGCACTGAATGCAAATTCTGATTTTCTGTTCAATGACCTCAATGACTGTTTTTGAATGGGGGGAAAAAAATCTGTTTGGGTTTTGATTGCTTCTTCTGTTCCTTCTTTTACATATTTTCAGACATAGAAACTGTTAAAAGGGCTAATACTGTTTTTTAAAATGAATTGTGATAGTATGTGTGACTTTTTAGTCAAACAACTTCTTTTATTTAGAGGCTATTAAAATAGTCTGTGCTTTGGTTTGATAATGATAGCTATTTATTAAAGGTTCAGTCCTAGAGCATAATGAGTAAGAGGGATGACCAGGCATCAAATATAACAACAAATAATCTGTAATGACTAAAACAAATGTTTCAACATGAAGTTAGATGCAGATGTATTTTAGTTCAGTGCTTGATTCCTCACTGTTAATTCTGGGATGTGCATTGATTTCCTTTCTGTTTCTGTTTCTGGTTCAGTTCCCATAAACCTGTTTGTAATATAAATGAACTGGTATGGATGTGCATGTGCTAATTACACTGTCAGCTCAGTAAGATTTGTACATACTGTAAGGCTTTTTATTGTCCATTTGTTTTGACAGACAGTTAAAGTAGATTAATAAAGATAAATTAATTGCATTTTGAGAAACTGAGTGTGGCTTCATCCAAAACAATAATTGATAAATAAAAAGAAACAAGTCATTCAAGTGTAACAGTTGTGCTAATTTTAAGAAATATTAAAGATATTTACTTATCACCTATAACTTTACAATACAATAATATCATCTCTGTTAGCAAAATATTTCATTTTGGTTTATATAGCACCAAGTCACAACAGAAGTCATCTCAGGGCAC